AATGTGTGCAGCTTGTTTTTATTTCTGAGATTCCCATTAGCAACTAGCCTTTATTTAAAAGAAAATTTTATTCACCTGAGGTCTCCTATAGGTTTTTATCTGATCCCAAAACCAGTCTGGTTTTCAAGTTGGACCCAGTCCAACTCTAGCTGGTAACCACCACCAATTCTCAATGTGGAAAATGCTGTACTAGGCTTTATCTACACAAAACAAAGCAAACATACACATTAACCCACCAGCAGTAACTAAAGAAATGTTACTATGGACTGGCTGATAGAAGGCTGTGTACAGGATCAGCAGCACCCAGTGCGGAGTAAACAGGCAGACCAGTGAATGGGAATGGGAATTTCAAACAACTGGGGAACTGTGGACTGAACCAGAGGCTATGGGGGCTTGTGTTTTGGGTGAAATAATCGGCCAGCTCGAGCTGACCTGCTAATGCCTGGATTGGACAGCTATTAGATCCGGAGCTCCAGGAAAAGCGAGCAGGGAGCAGAACACCAGGAGCCCTTAGAAACAGCAAAGGCAGAGAGCGCAAGAAGTTCTGGGGCATCACACTTGTGTTTCATATCCCCAGATGCCGTCAGAACTTCCCTTTAAATCCCACCATTGCTGTCACCAAATCTGTTAAAGAACAAAAATCCAACCAAGTAAATTTAACGATCTGATTGGACTGAAAGATTTAGGAATTGGGTACTATCCCCTCTAGTAAACAGAAAGGTGCTCGAAGAAGTACAAACTGGAAGGTTTTTATAGGCTGAAACTGGGCAGGACAAGGAAGTCATTAGCAAGAGAAAAGAGAATTCTTTCTGGCAGGGTCATCTTTGTTTGGGAAAGGGTAGCCCTGGTCCTGAGAGGGCAGATTACCTCACTGGTGTAGGTAAACCAGACAGGTTTAAGGTCACATTCCTGGGCGGGGCTGAAAACTGCAATTAAGTTTTGGCTTGTTATTGGGTGGAGGGCGGGCAAGTGGCACCACCTAGTTTCTTTTTCTTAACAATTGAGAAAAGAGAAGGAAACCTGGTTAAAGGATGCAGCTCTCTCACTCTCCTATTGACATCTGGTTCTCCCATCCTCATTGCCTTGATGCCAGCATTTTGAACAGAATAACTTGTTCCTCCAAGATAGTGAGGACCCTACCCAAGGACAGATAATCCACGGGATGGATAATGACTTGGGGGGAATAAGGACTGTGACCTATCTTCTAGCCTCCAATCACCTGCATATACTTCCTACCGCCTGAACCTACGGAGATACAAAGGAGGACGAGGGAGTCCCTCTGCACAAACTGACACGTCAGCCTTCCCTGGCATGAAAGCAGGAAGGGGGTGGAGAGTAGATCCGGAGGGACAAATAGAAGACAGGTGAAGTTGTTTCCAAGAGGCAGTGATGTGGAAGCAGAGATGTTAATATGTGTTTAAAATACTGACAAGTAGCCAATGTCTTTCACTAACAGTATAGGTACTGCACTAGGGTGAAGCTCCCACGTCCTGGCTGGTGTGGCTCAGTGGATTGAACATTGGCCTGTGAACCAAAGTGTTGCAGGTTTGACTCCCAGTCAGGGCACATGCCTGGGTTGTGGGCCAGGTCCTCAATAGGAAGCGTGCAAGAGGCCACCACACATTGATGTTTCTTTCCCTCTCTTTCTCTTTCCCTTCCCTTCTCTCTTAAAATAAATAAATTAATTTTTTAAAAAAAGACCCCAAACACTTACTGCTGTGTTCTGCAGAGACCTTTTGAGAACGCATTTACCCTCCAGTTCTCACTCTGCAAGCACACCCTATTTCCAAGAAAGTCCTCCTGTGTGTCTTCAATAAAGTACCTTTATGATTTTTCACTTAAAAAAAAAAACAAAACACAAAACTACTATTAAAGAGAAAACCACAGGCCCCAAATGGTGTCACTTGTGACAAAATCCTGTGATACCAAACCTAGATTAAGTTATCTGATCTACTTGCAGTTTCCAGCTTCCCAGAAACATAATCTTAATGAATCTCTCTGGAATTTCCTGGTCAATACCAAAGAAGGAAGAGGCAATCTGCATGATAAAAAGCTTTCTCCAAAAAAGAAATGGGTCCTGGCCCATTTCTCTTGGTGATTAATTCCTTGCCACACCCTTCTTCCTATAAAAGCCTTTCATTTTACCCAAGCCCATCAGCATGCCCTTCTAGCTGTCAGATGGGGTGCTGCCTGATTCATGAATTGCTTAATAAAGCTAATTAGATCTTCATATTTACTTGGTTGTACTTTGTTTTGAAATACCACCAATCATGGTTAAGTAGCCCATGTAAATGTAACTTTGCAAAGTCATTCCACATCACCTTTTCCTCGACTGAATTAGCCTTTAATCCTCACGTACAGTCATGCGCTGCATAACAATGTTTCTGTCAATGACTGACCATACGTACGCAGGAGGTGCCCTAAGATGATAATGGAACTGAAAAATTCCTATCGCCCAGTGACCTCACTGCCATCATCATCACGTAGCGGAACACTGCATTTGTGGCGACGCGGTGTAAACAAACCGAATGCACTGCCGGTCCTATAAAACATAGCACATACAATTATTACAATACATAATATTGATAATACATGACTATGTTACTGGTGTATGTATTTACTACGCTATACTTTTTATCGTTAGCCTGTACTCTCAGCAAAAGGCTGTACCACACAGCCCAGGTGTGTAAGTGTTCTCCATGATGTTCACACAATGATGAAACTGCCTAATGACACGTTTCTCAGAACACATCCCCATCTTCACGCAGCTTGTAGTTCGGCAGGTACAGGGAAACTGGAAAGTGTTGTCTGAGTCTCGTACAGTGTGTGATATAGGCTTTTGTAAAAGAGGGTCAGGAATTACCCGGCAGGATTCCCAAAGGCTGATCACAGGGAACAGAAGCTGGTTGGTCATTAAAAACACAAACCTTCACCAATAAAGGGGCTAGGAAAGATGGTGCCCCTCTGGGTAGAAGTAAAAACCACTACTTACCTGTGGAAAAGGGTTTAGGAGGTTGCTTAGGTCAGGTAAATTGGGCACTAGTTATATAGAAAACAAGGGAGGCTTTATTGTTTATACCAGGGGTGTCCAGCGAGCCTGCGGGCAGCCAGGATGGCCAAGAATGCGGCCAAACACAAAAATCATAAATTTACTTAAAGCCTTATTTACTTTAATTACTAAGTTGTATTATTTAGATCCATTTTCTATGTATCTACCCATCCTCATTGCCTTGATGCCAGCGTTTTGAACAGAATAACTTGTTCCTAGGCAATGAGGATGGGGTGCATTTTCTATGCTGGTGGTCACAATCTTGGGACCCGTTTGACGATTTTAAAAGATTATTGAAAAGGACCACTGCATAATTAGGGTATTATATTGAGGGCTTCTCTGCTTATTTGTTATGGTCGGACCTTTTTTTTTTTTGCTCATCAGTTTTCTTTAGTGTTTGTACATTTACAAACACCAAATCTCTTTGGCCCCAGAGACACCAAAAGGTGGGACACCCCTGGTTTATACTGTTGTAATATTTGCATAGTTTATTAGCTTTGTGAAATGAAATAATCTCGACTTTAACGTGATTGAAGTGAGACGCAGGGAGGTGTCCTGTAGCAACGGCTACTTTGATAGCCGTGAGGCTGAATCCGCTTTCAGCAACCATGCACCCAGAACAGAAACGTCGTTAACTCATAAAAATACGCGCACGCGAAACCAATGTTGTCACTTGTTGAATCTGAGTGCCAGTTGTAAAGCTCTTAGCGGATTTTAAAAATCAAAACGTATTTATACCTTTTTAACATAGATCCATTCCTAGAAAAATATTTGGACCATCGTTAGTTTGTAAACTAGTGTTCTCCTTACAAATTTACTTTTTTAAAAGACATTTTAAATACTTTTTGTTTTACTCAATAGCCCTTGAAAAAAATTTCATTTCGTGCGCGGGACTAGGGGCAGGGAAGCGCACTATACCAAATGCCTGGGCAAAGATTTCCTAATCCGTTACCTACAGATTACACCGTTTTCATTTCGAACGAGACTCGATTACTGATCGCCACGCTACCCCAAAACACCGGGGGGGGGGGCTTTTTTTTTCACCGGCCCGGCGAGCAGACAGACGCAGGGGACTGTGCGACCTGGCCGGGGTGGGGGTGGGGCCCAGCCCACTCTGGAGCAGCCCAAGGCGGCCGACCCCGGTTCCCCTGCCAGTTCTCGGAACTACCCCCCCCCTCTGCCCCCGGGCAAAGCGTCGCCCGGGCGCCACGTGCGTAGCCCGCCCCGCCCCTCCTTCGCCCGCCGGCGCGGCCGTGGGAGTCCTCCCCAGTCACAGAAGCTCGGGGCGCGCCCCGCCCAAGTGCCCGCATCCCGACTGCCGCAGCCCGCGAGCCCGGAATCGCCCAGCTCGCCCTCCCTCCCCTCGGGGGGCCGCTGAGGTAGGCCCGGCCCTTAGGGCGGGCTCGTCCGTCAGCCTCCGCGGGAGGCGGCCGGGCTACAGCGATAGCCGGTGAGTAGCCACGTCACGCTGCTCCCGGAGGCCCCGCCCCCGCCGTCCCCTCGGACCGCCTCCTCACTCCCCGCGAGCAGTTACTGGCTCTAGGGGCGCGCGCCTCCCGCACTTCGCCTGAGATCCTCCAGCCCGGCTCGCCGTGCCTCTTGCTGTCCGTCCCAGCTGACGGCTCGCGGCTCGCGGCTCGCGGCTGCGGCGCCTGGCGCGGGTTGGTTGGCTCGGGACGTGCGTCGCCGAGGCGGGCTGAGCCGACGGGCGGTTAGCGCTCCGTTCGACGCGGGGAGGGGCGGCACGCCGGGCGCTGCACGGCCTCGGCCGACGCGGGCGGCTGTGGCGGCGGCGACGGCGGCCGGGCTCTCGGGCTCTGTGCCCCGGGCCGGAGCCAGCGGGTGTCCCGGCGGAGAGACGGGCAGCCGGGCTCCCTGGCCGCGGGCTCCCTGGCCGCGGGCTCCCTGGCCCCGAGCACCCCGCGGCTGGGGCGGCTGGGGCAAGGGGGCGATGTCTGCTCGCGCCCCGGTGCCTGCCGCTCCCTCTGGGGAGGAGCCGCCTGCGGCGGCTGCTGAGGAGCCGCCGTCGCCCGGGGCGAGCAGGCAAGCCGAGCGGGTGCCCACGCCCGAACGGGAGGGCAAGCCGGCGGCGAGGGAGGAAAGGGCCGGGACCGCCACCAGCTTGGGGGCGCGGGGCGAGCCGTCGCCGGCGCCGGTGCTGGGGCACAGCGTGCCCCAGGCGGCCGTACCCGTGAGGCCGCTGGCGCTGCACCTGGCGCACAGGGCGCGCGGGCCGGGGGCCCCCTTCGGAGGGGAGTCGCTGGCGCCACCGCCGCCGCCGCGGGAGCCGCCGGCCGAAGACACCCGGGAGGAGGAGGAGGAGGCGGCGGCCGGCCCTGAAGAAAAGCCGCAGCCGCTGCTGCCCCCGAAGGAGAACCCCTGGACCAAAAAGCCGCCGCAGCACCTGTCCCCGGCCGGGTCGGAGCCGCCGCCCCCGCTGGAATCCCCGGAAGCAGGTCTGTGGCCCCTCGGTGGTGGGCACGGGGGGTGTGTGCAGCGGCCGGCACGCGAGGAGACCGAGGCTGGCGGGGGAAGGGCAGGCCTCCTTCCCTGTCCGTCAGAGGTGTTTGTTCCAAGGTGTCATTCACTCTGCCTATTTACATAAATGGACATCTGGACGCGAGCGACCGGCGGAGGTGGGACCTCGCTTCTCCGTGACGGGTGGGAACGCCGCGGAGCGGCTGGCGGGCGCGGCCTCGGTTGTCGTGCCCCGCGCTGGTGCGGGGACTCGGGAGAGCTAAGTTTAGGTAGTTATTGCATGCAACTCCCCCCCCCAGAGACGTTTTTATGGGCGTTTTTTCAAAAGAGGGGGAGCCAGGGGATTTATTTATATGTGGGAGGGCCATTTTGTTTTATTTTTATTGAGAAATAATGGATAAGCTGGAAATACCAGTGTTTTCAAAACACTTAAGTAGTTGGATTAAAAGTGAGGCTCTAGACCGTAGTTGCTACTAAAATGCTTTGAGTTACGATGGTTGTGGAAAATAATTGAAGTAAGTAAATGGTAGTCTAACATTCAGATCTCCCTTTAGAGGACATTAGATTGTCACTGCCTTTATTTTGATGGTAGCACCTTGTCTTTTTTTTCTTTTGAAAGTTTAAATGGAAATAGCAAATACAAATCAAGACAAGCAATATCTCCTAGTTTCGCTTTCTAAATTAAGTTGCAGCCAATTAATTGAACTTTTTATATAGAAATGATAGCTGTTTACTTGGAAATCTTCACTTTTTCTTAAAATTAAAGGTTAACGTTGGGGATAGGGAAAATTTGAGCACGTTTGTAGGTCTGCGAAGATTAATTCAGATAAAGCAGATGGTGTAAATGCAAGGTAATTATTGTAGACATACGTATTATTCCAGGTATGTAACATTTCAGAGGAACTCCAGTGAAGTGAGATAAGTGTTAATTGATTTCTTTAGTTTTTGTACAGTAATACTAATCATTGTTAATAAGTTTTGACACTTGCAGGAAAAAAAGCTACTTAAACAGTTCTAAATTTAATATTGCCATCATTCTCTTCTAGCTGCAAAGATTTGTTTACTACTCTTATTAACTGAAGAAAACAAAAATCTAAACACAAAATCTCCATAAAATTTTAGCTAAGAGAAAAAGCCCTAGTGAATCTTAATGGCTATCTCAACTCCCCACTTTGAGACTTACAGTTTCACATTTAGTGAATTCCCAAAAAACCCAAAGTCTTTATTCATTGTAAAATCAATTTGACAGGATTTTAAACCATTAAGGTAAGGCTCAGGAGTTTTAAATTGAAAATGGCCTCGTGAAAAACATGTAAGAGTTTATTTTGTTTTTCATTTATTGATATGAGAGAGAGAGAGATCAATTTATTCCACTTACTTATTCAGTGATTGATTGATTGATTGATTGCATGTCTCCTGATGGGGGAGCTGAACCCTCAACCTTGGTATATCTGGAGGAAGCACTAATCAACTGAGCTACCCGTTCAGGGCCTTAACAGTTTAATATAATTAACCTACAGGTGCTTTCACTGAGTATCTTAATCTTTGTTGGAGATTAAGAGCAAGCTGATGTTTGATGTATGGTGTGCAGTTCCCGGGAACGTTGCTGATGTCTCTCTGTAGGCATCTCATTCTGTTTTTGGAATCCATTCTGTTCCCGCATAAGTATTTGTCTTCAGACTTGGAGTAGTTTAGTAACTTAAAGCCTCTCCAATCCTGACTCTGCACTGTTCTATCACAACCTTTATTTGCAGTTGAATACTTAGGTAGCTTAGATAAGAGACTGGTGTGGAAATGCACTGTTCTTCAAGACTTAGGGTTCTAGTCCAGATATTGTTACTAACTAGCTGGACTTTGGGCAAAATTTCTGGGCTCTGTAAATGAAGTAGATGTACCTCTCTGGGTTCCTAATACCAGAGCACAATCCATTTAACTGAGTGTCTTGGCCTCCTATTTTCCTAAGTAAATTTTTAACTTCAAGAATGATGAAATAGGAGCAGAGGACCCTTAGTGTCCAGAGTAGGTTAAAACTGGGGAGTGTTAAATTAGTACAGTAATCTGTTAGTAGGCCTGTATAATTTTTCCTGCAGACCAGGATATTCTTGAGAGGGAAAGAGAAGGATATTAATTATGCTGGAATAACAGACTTAAACCATGTCTTGGCGAAACCTGGATTTACTGTCACCCTCCTAATAAGACACGAGGATTCCATCCACAACATTCTGCCAGAAAGTTACTTACCAGAGACAGAAACATTATAGGAAATGTAGGAGTATTTCAGGATTAATCATGAAATTTCTATGTTAGGAATTGCAGGTGAGGCATTATTGCTGCTTCAGTCCTTTTGAGACACTTTCGTCTACTTTGGGGCTAGTTCTAGCCTGTGTATTGCTGTTTCTGGTAATCCAGATAAGTCTCTCTTTTCAACCTAAACCTGGCCCACCCAAGAGACCTAAAATAGTGTCGCTGCATTTTTGAATTTAGTCAGGAAACTTAAAACAAAGCCTTTCTCTATCTGTCTTAACCTCGTTTTACTTATTTTGGGAACTTTTATTAAAATCACTTACTTATAGTTTTCTCTGACCCCCTCAACCCTATTTTCTCCCTCCATCTGCTTCCCAGCTGTTATCATCCTGGTAACATTTTAAGTTAGTTATATAAATGATGCATAAATATATTCTCCTTGTAAAAACAGAACTTTTGATGTCCCCTTCAAAAATGAGATAATCAGCCTGGGCTGGCGGCTCAGTTTACTGGAGTGTCATCCCATACACCAAAAGGTTGTGGGTTCAATTCCTGATCACGGCATGTACTTAGGTTGCGGGTTCAATCGCTGGTTGGGACGCATACAGGAGGCAACCGGACAACATTTCTGTCTCACATAGATGTTTCTCTGTCTTCATCTCTCTGTAAAATTAGTAAACATATCCTTCAGGAAAGATTAAAAAAAGAGATAATAGTGTTTACCAAATGTCCTTTTAAACATATGCCAGTATTTCCAAATAGTGTTTTGTGTTTGCATTTAGAACGTAATACCATTCTTTTGTCATTTAGAGTGTTTGTTGATCTTTTTTTCTCATTACCATTAGTGGGGTTTTTAAAATTATTGTTGAGTTATAATCGACATATAATGTTAGTTTTAGATGTACAACATAATGATTTAATATTTGTACATATTGCAAAATGATCTCCACAATAAGCCTAATTATAATGGCCCCATACATACATAAATCAACTTTTCCTTATAATGAGGTTGGTCCTTTTTAATCTAAACCCCTTTTAAAAACTGCCAAGAAGTGGTTTATAAGTATAACTGACATAGTTAACTTAGCCATTTATCTGTTGATCAGCAGCATCCTGGTTCAAACAACATTTTTTATATATACCTCTTCTGTGTCTGACTTTCTAGGCTAGGTAAATGGGATTGTTAGATCACAGGGTTTTATTAGTTAGCAAGTTGCTCTCTAAAGTGACTGTACAAATGGATACATGGATACTCACACTTTTAAAGTGAGGATTAAGGGGGTTTTTCTTCCCCCTTTTTTAAAGCAGCGTAGCGAAATGACATTTTGCTCGATATTTGTCTTAAACATAATAAAATTGTGAAATATTTATAATTGTCGATGTGTTTTCTTAATAACACTTTGCTAAAGATTGTGGTAATGAAAATTAAAGTGAGTAAAATTGTTGGTTATGTTGCATTTTTTGTTTTTAGTATCCAAGCTCTTAAAATCAATTGTTTTTCTTACCAGTTTAGAATTATTTCCTTATAGATTCTCAGGGTTAAATAATACTTTTTTAAAAGTGAAAGTGAGTTTATTAGTGAAGTAGTGAGATAGAGAATAGGCTACTGCTCAGACTGGGCAGCCAAATATTATTTTAAAGGTATTGGAATCCTAATCAAAGAAGTTATACTGATATAGTAAGTATCTCACTAATGATGTTTGAAAGATGGAGATATGAAGATCACATACTTGTTTGTTTATGCGCGTGCGCGCGCACATGCTTGGAGCCACTAGTAGCTTAAATTTGTTTCTTAGGTTTCATCTGTTGAAAAGATAGATATATATATATATATATACATATATATATATATGTATAAAAAGGTTTTATTTATTTATTTTTAGAGAAGGGAAAGAAGGGAGAAAGAGAAGGAGAGAAACAGCAGTGTGTGGTTGCCTCTTGCATACCCACTACCGGGGACCTGGCCCACAACCCAGGCATGTGCCCTGACTGGGCATCAAACCCACAACCCTTTGGTTCGCAGGCCGGTACTCAATCCACTGAGCCACACCAGCCTGGGTGAAAAGATGTATATTAATCCACACCTGAGGATATGTTGATTGATTTTTGTGGGGATGGGGGGAGAATGAGGGCGGGGGGAGAAAGAGGAACATAAATGTTGCCTCCCATACAGGGCCCTACCAGGGAGTGAACCTGCAGTCTTTTGGTGTGTAGGATGATGCTCCAACCAACTGAACCACCTGGCCAGGGTGAGATATATATCTTCTTAAATAAAAATTTTTAATTTTATGCCCTGGTTGGTGTGGCTGAATGCCAGCCTGCAAACCAAAAGGTTGCTGGTTCGATTCCCAGTCAGGGCACATGCCTGGGTTGCAGGCCAGGTCCCCAGTTGGGGGCATGTGAGAGGCAACTGATCAGTGTATCTCTTGCACATCTATGTTTCTCTTCCTCTCGTTCTTCTTCCTTTCTCCTCTCTAAAGACATATAAATAAATAAAATCTTCAAAAAAAATAAATTTAATTTTATAGGTTGGCTTTTTCCAGTTTTAGGTTTTGACATATAGGGCAAATTCTTCTATTTTAGTTAAAACATGGGAAAATGAAAAAACCAAACCCCTTCGTCTTTTTTGCCTGCCCTCTACATGTGTGTATAAAATAAAAAACCCGGTGAAGTTCTTTCCATATCAGTCAGTACATACAGATTTATCTTTTTTAAAAGTCTTACATTATTTTATATAGATGTACTATAGCATAACTTTTCCATATTAATGAATGTAGGAATTATTTAAATACAGCTATTAGCAAAGCTACAGTAAACATTTATACAGACATCTGTGTGCCTTGTCTTGATTCCCAGATAATTTCCCAGAAATGGAATTGCTTTATTAAAAGGTATATACATTTTAAATGACAGATTATCCTTGAAAGATTATACTACTACCCACCTTTTGCCAAGACCAAGACCATGAGAAGAATGTTCATTTTTTAATAGGCTAGCCAACCTTTGGGCATTCTCTTTTTTGTCGATACAGTAGATGAAAAATGCTGTTTTAGTTTGCATATTATTAGTGCAATTGATTACCATTTTATGTTTGACTATTTGTGTTTTTTTTTTTAATCATCTTTTCATTTTTTACTGAGATTTTTTTTTTAAAGCTCCTTATCATCTTTTTAACTCCAAAAGACTGGGTTGATGAGGTGGTCCAAGCAAGCAGCACAAAGGACTTCCTGATGTGGAACTTTGGAATTAGACAAACGTGTTGACACAGTTGGCATTGCACAAGTGGCATATCTCTGTTGGGGAGCCTGCCCCTGAGAAGTTGACAGCATGAAGGAACAGACCACAACACTTGTTTTTGTAGACGGCTAGCTCCCAAACAAAAAGGGGAAAATTACATGGCGAGAATAAATTCTGTCTTTAATTCCTGACCTTAATTTTGTGATTATGTCTAATTTATTCGTAATAAAGCCATGTAAAACTTGCTTGTGTGGTCTATTCCTTATTACTTTTCATTATATCAAATAGTTTGTATAAGAATGTATTTTGTAATTACCAGGCACTTTATTTACTTAACTTAGCAATATTTTAGGACGTGTTTTTCATTTTGCTGCAGGAAAAGTTCCCCAAATGTTCTATACTATATTTCATAAAATATACATAGTATTTATAGAACATATTTCAATGAAATTCTCGATAATGTTCAGGAAAATATTCTTTAGTTGTATTTTTTTCCTCCTCCCATATTTTTTTACTACTGTATCTAATTTTTCATAATGAAGTATTTTATTCTTGTGCACATTTACAAATGTCTACACATACACACATATACATATACCCAAAGTATAAAGAAGAATCAAACAAATACCTGTGTACTCACTCTTCTGCTTTAAAATTAGAATTAGTACAATATTTAAGGTCATCTCTGGTGACATCTTCATCTTTTGTCCTTCATCTCTTCTTTTTTGATAAGTACAGATGGTCTTCGATTTACAATGGGGTTATAATCCGATACCAATTGTAAGTTGAAAATACCATTGTCAAAAAAGCATTCAATACTGCACTATAGAGTACTGGTTGTTTACGCTTGTGATTGCTTGGCTACTGGGAGCTGCAGTTCACTGCCCAGCATCATAAGAGTATTGCACTGCATATCACTACCTTGGGAAGATATCAAAATTCAAAATCAGAAGTATAATTGTACTGAATGCTTATTGCCTTTGTACCATGAAAAAGAAAAAAAACCATAAGTGAAACCATTATAATTCGGGGACAATCTCTATCTTATTTAAATATCTTAATAATTTCCCTGAGTGTCGCTCAGTTGATTGGAACATTGTCCTGTACACCAGAAGGCCACTGGTTCAATTCCTGCTCAGGGCATATGCCCAGGTTGCTTGTTTGATCCCTAGTCGGGGTGGGCAACCAGTAGATAGATGTTTCTCTCTCCCTCTCCCCCTCATTCTTCTCTCCCCTCCCTTCTCCTCTCTCTTGAATGATAAACTTAAAACAAAACAAAACTCTTGCCCTGGCCGGTGTGGCTCAGTGGATTGAGAACTGAATTCCCAAGTTTGAATTCTAGTCAGGGCACATGCCTGGGTTGTGGGCCAGGTCCCTAGTAAGGGGCACACGAGCAGCAACCACGTTGATATTTCTCTCCCTCTCTTCCTTCCCTCTCTCTCAAATAAGTAAAATCTTTAAGAAATTAAAAAATAAAAAACCCTCTTAAAAGATCTTATTTTTAGAGAGAGGGGAGAGGGAGAAAGAGGAGGAGAGAAACATTGACCCGTTGCCTCTGGCAGGCCCTCAGCTGGAGACCTGGCCCGCAACCCAGGTCTGTGCCCTGACTCGGAATCTTAACAGGCGACCTTTTGGCGTACAGGCCGGTGCTCAATCCACGGAGCCACCTGAGCCAGCGCCATATGTATCTTACTTAAATTTGCTTCTGGATTTTAACTCAGATATTGTATTCTATGAATTGGTCATTGTGTGGTTTTTGGGATTTATGTTTTGTTGAATTATTGTGTCTATTATAAATGCAGATCCCAAGTTTATTCTACTTAATGTTTACTTTGGGTCATATTTAGCTAGATGATACTGCCATCTGGTTATCTTGCTAAGCAATGAACTAAACTAAAAAACAATGTAAAACTTCATTTGTAGACAGTATTTATATATATCTCAACCACTGTGTTCTTATTCCAGATAGGAACAAGTGGTGATTCCATGACAGTCTTGTACAAACTTTTACAGAGACCTATTTTCTACAGCTAAACTTAGAGTTGCCAAACATGTGTTTTTAAGAACAAAGAGTTTGAAGTCTGACTTATTTTCTGGATGCTCCTTAATGAACATGTATTAATTTTTTTTAGGAAAAAACATGTCTTTTTTGTAATACAGTTCTCTACTGACTTACTGAAATAAGTATTATAATAGTTACCCTCTTTTTATTCACAAGCACTTGTCAGCATTCAATGAACTTCCCTCCATGTGGATTCAAGCTACCAGGATACAGTGTCATCCTGTGCCAACCCCCCCCCCCCCACACACACACACACACGAGTCTTCTCTGCTCTTCTGCTAAAGAATTTAGCCTTCAACAATGACAGACTGCTTTGGGAGCTTTCCCTTCTGCAGAACTTTGTAGTGGCTCGATCATAGCACATCAATGATAGGAGCAGTTCAGTCTTGTTTTGGGCAGCATTTACCTGTCTGCTCACTGACCAAGGTCCACAATTTATTGAGGTTGACACCTGGGCAGAAGCTCTGGTTCCTCTTTAAGTGGTAGGGCCTCATAACGACTTTTCCTAAAGTAACCTGGGTGATATTTGTTGAAGTTGATCCTGTAATAATGTAAGCTACCATCATCACCTTGGCCTTCTGGGTATTTTCTGTGCTTGCCTGTAGGATTACAAAGTGATGTATTTGTGGCCATAGCTCACGTGGCCCCGAGAGTTTCTAGGTCTTCCTCAGTCTGGATGGCATGTTGCTGGCGGAGGTGCAAGAGGGTTACTTTGTTAAATATATTGAATGAAGTGGTTGTAAAAACAATTCTGTGTGTGTGTGTGTGTGTGTTTTTTTTTTTAGAGCTCAGTTCCCCCAAAATTATAAAAGCAGGAAAACTCAAGACAAAGAAGTCCAGCAAGGTATGTCTTTACACAAAGTAGTTCTTAACTACTATAAATTTTGAAAATCGCTATGCTCTTAGATTATTGCATGCTTTTCTTCTAGTTGTATTATTGATGGTAATTTTAAGTTAATATGCTAGAGAATTGTATCACTTAGGCAAACCACCGTGTGCTGCTGTTATCCTGTTTATATCAGTTTAGTCAGTGTCATCAAATAGTGCTAGAAATTAGATCATAAGACCAAGCCATTCTTGTTTCAGTGTTCTTTTGTTTGGAGGAGCTTTTGGATTAATTTGGCAAATGCTTGCATATAATTGAATGTAGGTGATTTTTTTTTTTTTTTTAAGATTTTATTTATTTATTTATTTAAAGAGATGGGAAGGGAGGGAGGGAGAGGAAGAGAAACATCGATGTGTGTGAGAAACATCGATCAGTAGCCTCTTGCATGTCCCCACCTGGGGACCTGGCCTGCGACCCAGGCATGTGCCCTGACTGGGAATTGAACTGGCAACTTTTCACACCAGCAAGGGCTGTAGGTGATTTTTTAAAGTTGCTTTCACTTTTAGAAAATATTTTTTTCTATTTAAAATATCTAATTTGCAGACATAACACTTATTTATTACTTTTTAGGCTAGTGATTTCAGTGATATGGCGAATTGGCCTACGCCAAGTGAATTAGTGAATACTGGAGTAAGTATTGCTTTAAGGCTTTCTTTATATAGAGGGAAAAGAATTGTTATTTCAACATGCAGAATTTATTTTACTTCAAATTTAGAGACTTACATTAATAAAGAGATGCTGAAAACTCAGCAGCTACCTTTTCATAGTTTTATCTATTTTGTTTCTAATTAAAGCCTATTTTATGTTTCAGAATTTATGCTATGTGTTCTGATTTATGAAAAATATTTTCAATATGTGTTTAAGTGCTAGCTATATATTTGTACATATATGCATATGTATTATGTCAAGAAATGTTTAATGAATGGAATTTTAATTTTAACTATGAAAGATGCTGTAAAAGATGGTTCTGAGATAGTTTATCAAGTGGATTTTTAGAGGAGTAGCATATATAGTTATACATGTTCTCATTTGGCAGCATATTTCGCTATTTGTAATTTGTATAGTATTGGTGTGTGGTTATAGATGATATATATTATTAGTTTAAACAGCTTAATTGGTATATAAATGACATATAATAAACTGCAAATATATAAAGTGTACAATTGGATAATTTTAACTTACATAAACCTGTGAAACCATCACCACAATCACTGTAAGACTTAACCACTACTAGTAAAGTTTCCTCACACACCTTTGTAATTCTCCCTGTCACACATCTGCCCATCATCCCAGGTATGTTCTACAATTTTATATATGTGGAGTCATACAGTATGTTCTTTGTTTTTCTTTTTGGCTTTCATTTGGCTTAGTTATTTTGAGGTTTATTTGTATTAGGTGTATCTGTAATTCATTCCTCATTGCTGAGTAGCAGTATTGTATGGATGTAATGCTGTTTGTTCACACCTACTGCTGGACATTTGTGTTCGTTTTAATTGGTTTTTTGCCTGTTAGCAATAAAATTGTTGTATAAACATTTATGTAACAGTTTTGCGTGGGTATATGCATTCATTTTTCTTGGGTAAATACCTACAAGCAGAATGGCTAAATTGTATGGTAGCAGTTTGTTTAGCTTTTCAAGAAACTACCAAACTTTTCATCCCTACTATCAGTGTATGAGAAGTCTACTTACTCCACGTACTCACTAATACTCTTTGGTCAGTCTTAATTTTAGTCATTCTACTTGATATATGGTAGTAATGCATTGTAGTTTTAATTTGCGTTCTTCTGACTAAAGATGTCAAGGACCTTTTCATATATATTTGCCATTAGTGCATCTTTTTAATGAAGTACCTGTTTAACTCTAGCTCATTTTTTCAAAAATTGAGTTTTCTCAACTGCATTTTGAGAGTTCATTACGTAGGATGGGATAAAAGGTTTATAGTTGTGAGTATGCAAAACGTAAGAGTTTACTCTGGTTTTATTATTTATTAATGTATTCTTTTCCATATGAACAACTGTAAACCTGAAAGCAAATCAGTTACCACTGCAGATGGTATCATGAAGAAATCCAAAAACACTCATTGGTGACTACGAGGAATCAATTGATTAAATATATTTCTTCATTTCTACAACTTTCTTACAGAAAATAAAACTAAAATGAACATATAAACTAACCTCTCTTTCATCAACTACTTTTGCCTAACCAGGTATATTTTGGGTACAAGTTCTTTATCAGATATTTAGGAAATATTTTCTACCAGTCTGTGGTTTGACTTTTCTCTTAATGGTTTCTTTTGAAAAGTAGTTTTTTTACTTTTTAAAAGTTGGCATTTGTCCTGCCATGTTTAGGTGAGGTATAATGCCGTAGATTTCTGGATATGTTAGTGAAAATGTTCTTGAAAATTATTTCATTCAGTAATACTTTTTTTCAGTGTCAGGGTGTCATCAACCAAGGAAATAAAAAGCTGCAAAATAAAAAAGAAAGAGAAGACAAATTTGAAAAGAGAAATAACAGTGAAAGCAAAGAAAGCCGGGAAACAAAATTAGATGGTCCTGGTGAAAATGTCAGTGAGGATGAAGCTCAGTCAAGTAATCAACGAAAGAAAGGTTAGTTCATCTATAATTTTGTCTCCTCCCCTCCAGTGTATTGAGATATAATTGTGTTAGTTTAAGTTATAGAACACAGTGATTTCATGTATGTGTATATTGCAAAGTGATTACTACACTGTTAACATCCATCACCTCACAGTTACAATATTTTTCTTGAGATGAGAATTTTTAAGATCTGTTCTCAGCAGCTTTCAAATATATGAGTATTGTTAACTGTTGTTGTCATGCTATATACTGTACTTGTAGAACTTATTTATCTCATAACCATAAGTTTGTATTTTTTGACCCTCTTCATTCATTCCTCCCATCCCCCTCCTGTGTTCAGTTTGAGTTTGGTTTTTGTAGTTCCACGTATAAGGGAAGTCATACAGTATTTGTTTTTCTCTGTCTGACTTATTTCATAGTATAATGTCCTTAAGGTATATCTCTGTTGTTGTGAATGACCAGATTGTCTTTCTCCTGGCTGAATGATATCCCATTCTATAGACACAGCACATTTTTGTTATCTATTTATCTGTCAGTGGACTGTTTCCATGTCTAGACTATTGTAAATTAGATAGTACTGGTAAAAATATCAGTGAGGATGAGGCTGTCAAGTAGTTGATGAAAGAGAGGTTAGTTTATATGTTCATTTTAGTTTTATTTTCTGTAAGAAAGTTGTAGAAATGAAGAAATATATTTAATCAATTGATTCCTCGTAGTCACCAATGAGTGTTTTTGGATTTCTTCATGATACCATCTGCAGTGGTAACTGATTTGCTTTCATAACATTCATTTCTGAACTATTAGGCTTTCCTCTTTTTTTTGGCTTCTTTTTTATGTGAGAATGGAATGAGTGTCCACTTACAGGAATTAGTGTAAACATATGATTGGAAAGTTATGTGATAACTATTGTTTTTTAAATCTGCATTGGAACTGCTCCCTGTCTTTCTTGGAGTTCGGAGGACATGATTTCTAAGAGAAAAGTGAGAACAATTTTGGTCAACTTTTTTTCCTCATAGCATGCCCTCATTAAATTACACTTTGAAGAAAAAAAAAATACTGCCTCCATGTTCTTTCCAGAGCTTTTCATGTGCCTAGGGACATGTTACGATTTAACCCCTTTGTAAAACCATATACTCATCAGTGTTCTGAGCCTAGGTAAAAGTGTCTGCAGGTGCCTTTTGGCAGAAAGTCTTGAGCATTAAGGAGAGTGGCAGGAGATGCTATGGGAGAGGTAGGCACAGTCCATGTTATGCGGGGTTCAAACTTGGAATTAGCATTTTGAGTTCCTTGGAAAGATATTGTAGCATTGTAAGTTACGGAGGTTATACATCATGAGAGGGGACTTTCATGATGCGGTAGTTGCCGGCCAGCTGCTTTAATAGGGGAAGTAGCAACCTAACAGGTCTTGAGCACTTACTTGATTTTTATTTTAATGCTTATCTAATCCTTAGCTGCAGAGGAAGCATTAGGCTCCCTTGGTATAGTGCGCCAAGGCTAATTGCTCAAAAGTGGTGCCAACAGGACAAACATAGGGTTATTAGAAAAGAATTTCCTCAGTTCTTACACCCTTTTCATGCTTCTTAGACATATAAGTAGTCTTTTTGGCTGTCTAGAATTCATATAGATGGCAGACCTGTCATCCTGCTCTAAGATTTGTCTTCTTTTTCATTGCTTCAGTAAAACTATCAACCAACACTAAAATCCAGGTATTTATATTTAGAGTAATTCATATACTCCTTTCATGAATTGAGTCTCCTCAGAGCACACAATTTTTTCTTCAAATTAAAAGCTGGTTTGTGCCAAAGAATCTGTACTGTAGTTATGCACTAATACTGTTCCCTTTCCCTTAATTATCTTAGTAGTATTTCCCTTGCTCATGAGTCTTTTTATTTAGTCAAAAATATATATTGGTCAGAGGACTGAACATTTTGAAACCTTAACTGTGGAGTCTGTGAATAGGTAATCTTGAGAATTATACTATAACAATTACACTATCTTTTAGTCAACAAGAAAAGTTAAATTACCTATATCTCTTAATAAGTTTTGTCTTGACTGGCGTGGCTCAGTGGATTGAGTGCTGGCCTGTGAACCTAAGGGTCGTTGGTTCGATTCCCAGTGAGGGAATCGGACCACATGCCTGGATCGCGGTCCAGGTCCCCAATAGGGGGCATCCAAGAGGGAAATACATTGATGTTTCTCTCTCTCTTTCTCCCTCCATTCCCCTCCCTCTAAAAATAAATTTTAAAAATTTTTAAACGAGGTTAAGAAAATGTGTGTAGTAGCTTTAAAAAGATTTATCAAATGCAGTTAGACACATTTTACACTTAAACTTAATGTTCAGAAACCTCTTTCATTAGTAGTAATTCTGGATAAATCAGTACTTTAGACAGTGATTTGAAACAAAGTATTTTGAATCACTAGCCAAGCTTTGCAGTGTGTACATTATAATGTCTTTTCAGGACATCCCATTTTGAAGCCTAAGAATCAAGTATTAGATGGGAGTAGTGTGTACACATACTATTTTTGAATAACTTACTCATCAAAATTAAACAGAAAAGTGAAATACCACTTCAAAGCAAAAGAATTCCAATGATACTTCATTACTGGTTTTTCACTTGCTTTTTAGGAATATTCTTTGCACAGAATAGATTATTAAGGAGCTGTTTGAGAAGAAAATTATTTTGATACTCTACAGGTAGTCCCTTTAAAGACAAGTTGTCTTTCATTTAATTAAAATTTAGGGTCCTTTCAAAATACAGAGCTTCATTCAAAATTGTGCATTGTCATTTAATGATTTTATGTTTTTTTCCTTCAAGCTAATAAGCACAAATGGGTACCACTCCACTTAGATGATGTAAGACCAGATAGTCAAGAAAGACCAGGATCACGCAACAGCACAAGATGTCAACCTGAAACAAATAAATCATCACATAACAATCGAAGAAATGATACACGAAGTAAGTTACATTCTAAGAGAAAAAAAATGACTGAAGAACTTTGTCTTATTGCTTATTATTTTAGTAGCCATATATAGTATAAACTGTTTGAAAGTTGCAGACATCAATTCCTCTTTAGCCCTGAGTACCTTCAGAATATATACAATGTGACTATCCACAGGCAGATTTTTCCAATAATGTCCTTTATGATTTTCCCCCTCTCTTTTCTAGGCTCTCATGTGTATCACACATGCTTTTAGTTGACTTTCATCTTTAGTCTCATTAGTCTGGAATAGTTCATTTGCTTTTGTCTTTCATGACATTGAAATTTTTTCCTGAAGACTGCAGAACAGATACACCTCACTTTGGGTTTTCTGGTGTTTCCTTATGACTGGATCGGCTCATGAGTTTTTGGCAGGAATACTATGAAAGTTAAATGGTTCTCTTCTCAGAGTATTACATGGAACTGCTCGCAATCTTGGTGTATCCTATTGGCGATAGTAACTTTGAACACTTAATTAAGTTGATGTATTCCAGGCTTCTTTAAAAATACTCTTCTCCTTTGTAATTAATGCTATTTGTGGGGCGAGACTTTGAGATGTGAGAAGTCATAACACTTTTCACATGAGCCATAGCTTTCATTGATGAGTCTTACCTGATTGAGTTATTACCATGATACTTGCAAATACTGATTTTCTTACTGCATTATTCCTTCTATATTAGTTGACATTCTACTCTAAAGAACAACTTCCCTTTATGATCAGAGTGGACTTATGGACTCTCATTTTTTCTACGAATTATGATCTATCACCATGATTATTCAATTGGTATTCAAATTGTCTCAGATATGGCTAGTGGGAGCCATTACTAAATAGTTTTTGGTCTTTTTTTTTTTAAAAAAAACAACGAACTTTACTGAGCTATAAATTATGTATATTAAAATATACTGACATTACTGTCACTTCCCCCAACCACAAATCTAACTTTCTGTTAGGTTAGATTTGCTGTTTCTAGAATTTCATATAAATTGAACTATATAATATATAGTATACATTCTCGTGTGTCCTTTTGCTCAATATAATGTTTTTCAGACTCATCAGTAATGTTTCATGTGTCCGTAGTTCCTACATCTTTACTGTGGAATAGTTTTTTGTTGAATTGATACACCCCTTTATCCATTCATCTATTCATGAATGTTAGACTTGTTTCCAGTTTTTACATAATTAGGGGTAACGATGCTGTGAACATTTGTGTAAAAGTCTTTGTGTTAGCATATGCGTCACAAAGGTAAACACCTAGGAGTGGCATGCTAGGTGCTATGGGAAGTGAAAATTTGACTTAATAAAAAATTTCCAGACTGTTTTTCAAATTGGCTGTACCATTTTACATTCCTGCCATCAATGTTTCCCATCCATTGCTATTTGTTAGGTCATGTGTCTTAGAGAACTTCACATATTTTGGATTTGGCTAATTGCTTTGGTCATGATATTCTTTAACATGTGCCTTTATCTTTTCCACTTATTACTGGTAATAAGAACCAGAGGTTTGGTTAGATTCAGGTTTATTTTTGTTTTTGTTTTAGTAGAATACTTCAGTGTGTGTGCCTTGGTTTATTACAGCAGTGGGAATAATATGTTCAAGTATCTCACATTCAGTTCTGTTAAAGTTGACTTGATTCAGGTGGTGTTGTCCTTATCCACCCATCATAAGAGTGTCCCATCAATTTTTTCATTTAAAAATTATTCCTCAGATATATTATTTCAACAGGGATTGCTCAGATTTCTGAAAGAAGACAGGAAAATATCAGCAATTAGATGAGCATTTTCTGGGGTTTTTATAGTTTTCTGCTGAGATCTTTTAAATCTGGTCATTTTTAAGGCATGTTGCCCTGTGAATGGAGAAGACTTAAGAAAATTTTAGAAACATATCATGTAAAAGTTTATAATTGTATTATGAAAAGCTTTAAATACACTGAAGTAGAAAGAATTGTACTATGAATACATGCTTTACCACTGCCTTGATTTAGTAAGTTTGCTATATTTGATTCATCCATCGCTGAGTCATTTGAAAGTACCTTGCTGCAAATATCATGACACTTAAGCACTGATGTCTTAAGAAAATGCAGCATCTAAGGAAATCAACATTAAATGACTAATTTCATCTAAAATTTAGTCATGAAAATAAAATTTAGTAGTTATAGTTAATTTTTCACAATATATGGCTTTAAATTTATAAAAGCTATCTATAGAAAAATTTACTTTTTGTTTCATTGTTTCCCAACTATATCTTCTTAATGTTTTATTCTAAAAGTAATATTCATAATTAAAAATTTTTTTCTTAAACACTGAGTATATAAGAAAATACAGGGTGGGCAAACGTAGGTTTACAGTCGTGAGTATGCAAAACAGTTTATTCTTATATTATTATTCATTTTTGTATTATATATTTTTCCATGCTAACAACAGTATACCTACTTCTGCCCACCCCAGTATATAAGTGTATGAAAGATAACATTAGAAATCCATATTAGAATTACCTTTAAATTCTTTGTGTGCCCTCTGCAGTTTCATCTCTTTGCCGCCCTTCTCAGAGGTGGGGAAAAAGTCTGGCTATTTTTTAATTTTATTTATTTATTTGTTTGTTTGTTTTTGCAATTGACATCTAGTATGACTCCATTTACATATTCTTTGGTACTAATTTTTTTTTTACCTCATTTAATTTCTTAAGATTTATTTACATATTCTTTGACACTTAATTTTTTTTTTTTAAATACTAAGTCTTAGATTTATACATGATGGTTATATTGCTGTGATTTGGGGTTTTTTCCCCACCTGCTAAAGGATATTTCACTATTTGATAAAATCTGTTCTGTTAGTGGATATTTTGAATTGTTTCCAATTTTTTGATATTAGAGTGCAACCATGAACATTCTTATGCATGTTTTCCAGTAAGCATGTACAAGAGGTTCTCTAGGGTAATTTCTTCAGACTGCAGCTAGTGAGATGCATTATGAAAATGGTGTATTGGGACATGATCAAGTGTGTCAAAACATTGATAGAGTACTTCACATAGTAAATATTTTTTATGATAATTGTGTTAACAAGTAAACATTTTTTATAATTTAAACAGCGATATGGCATAAAATAGGCTTACTATGGATTCAGGCAGAAATATTTGGGAAAGACTATTATTGGGAGAAATTGCAGGACCTAGGTTAGTGATTCTTAATGGGAGTGATTCTTTTTTTTTTCTCTCTCTTCTAAGGGGACATTTGTCACCCTCTGGAGATAACACTGGTTTTCACACTGGGAAGGCAGAGGGTGCGGGGGTGAGTGCGTGTTACTGGCATCTCAGTAGGTAGAGGCCATGGATGATGCTAAACATTCTGCAGTAATGAAGGTAGCACCCCGCCCCCACCCCGTACACACACTCAAAAGAGCTACTCAAAATGTCACTAGTGCCAAAGTTGGAAAACCCTTTAGGATATATATACATTCAATATATTAATTAGTTCACATCGTTTTTTGAAAGAGGATGTGCCTATTTTTACTCTCACTAGTAGTGTTCCAATGCACTGTCTTTACTGTCTTGGTCCACAGTTGATATTGCAGGACTTTAATGTGTTTGTCAGAGTGGTGACATGCTCTTTCATTGTCTTAACTTGCATTTCTCACGCCAATGAGGCTGAGCACCATTTTCTATATTTATTATTTATTTGCATTTCCTAGTTTGCCCTACCTGTCTTTTTAGCCACATTCCCATGAGTTGCAGTGTGCGTTTGTATGTTGTTGTATTTGTGCTTTTGTGCATAAGAGCTTTGTATAAATTCTCTGTGTTCTGGATATAATTTTTACATTGTAGTGCAAATACCTTATCTCAGTTGTTTTTGCCTTTGTTTCCTTTGTTCTTTAAAAGAAATGTCTTCTACTTAAATATAAACAACCTTTCCACATTTTGTGAAAAATAAGTACTTTTAAAAGGTTCATATAATATAAACTTAGTTGTCTTAGAACTTTTTGATTCTTTGAAAGTACAGTCTTAGCTAGGGACTTCTTTATCATTTTAGTATGTTATTTTTACTTACTATATATATATATTTATTTATTTTTTTTTTGGTGCCCTGACCAGAGTGGTTCAGTGGATTGAGCACTGGCCTGCAAACCAAAAGGTCACCAGTTCGATTCCCTGCCAGGGCACATGCTTGGGTTGTAAGCCAGGTCTTCAGTTGGGAGCATGCAAGAGGCAACTGATCGATGTACCATCTCTCTCACACACTGATGTTTCTCTCCCTCTCTTCCTCCTTCTTTTTCCCTCTCTCTATAAATAAAGGAATAAATAAATAAAGTATTTTTTTAATTTGTCAGTACTTTTATGGGCTCTTTTTTTTTTTATGCTGGAGATATTTTGACAAATTTCTATGAGATCTCTTAAGTTTGTATCTATCTAACGATTGCGAGGTTACTAACAACTAGTTACAAAGTGGGGAGGGGTGGTTAACTATGTTTTCCTAAAGATAATCATGTTATTCATAACTGCAAATTGGGATGTGTAAAACTGTTTTTATTTTTAAAAGGTTGGAGACGTGATAGAGAAAAGAGAGATGATCAAGATGAAGTTTCCAGTGTGAGAAGTGAAGGCGGCAATATCCGCGGTTCCTCTAGAGGCCGAGGACGAGGCCGAGGGCGGGGAAGAGGACGAGGCAGAGGACATTCTAGACGTATGGCATGATTTTTTAAAATTTAAATTAGATGAACTTTGAAAAAAGTGTGCAAGGCCTCTCTGTTAGTTTTTCCCACCATCTCATATTTAACTAAGTTATTTGATCCAATAATACAGGTGATTTTATATTTGTTACCCCTTGAAATACTGTACTTTGGATTTTTCTTTATAGTAACTCTTTTTTCTGTTTTTTAAAAAATGTGTGACCACCTTTCTTTTTCTTTATTTACATCAAGTGAACTTTGATTATTCATATGGTTATCGAGAACATGGTGAAAGGACTGATCAACTATTTCAAACAGAACTTAATACCAGTATGATGTATTTCTATGATGATGGTACAGGCGTACAGGTATATCCTGTGGAAGAAGCATTGCTTAAAGAATATATAAAGCGCCAAATGTAAGTTCATCAGACATGAGCAGATGGAGTGATATCTGTTGCAATAATAAACTTCAACATCACTGATAGTGAATATGTTCTAACACATGTTCGAAGCTGTTTATTCATAAATAAAATTGGAGGATTTTTATAGCATTTTTGTATTATATTTTTTCTAGGAAATGTTGGTAAAATAAGTACTTTATAAAATTTATATTTGGTTCATGTTATTTATATGACTACTGCTTTTTCTATTGTTTAGGTATTTCTGTGCTTACCAGATATTAGTTACAATGTTGTGGGAAATGAGTGATTAAATATAAGAATATGAGACTATATTTGAAACTGTGTAAGTGAAGTTTGGCTTATTTGCAAATAAATGTTAACATTAAAACTTGCAAATGACTGGCAAAATTTGTAAAAATTAAATTTTATTTTTCAGTTACAGTTTACATTTATTCAGTATTATTTTGTATTAGTTTCAGGTGTACAGCAGCATGGTTAGACAGTCATATACTTTACACAAAGAGAGATTGTCTTTTGATTTTCTTAGTAATTGATTTCAGGATTCTAAGTTTCTTCTTTAACTATCAAGTTCTCTTTCTTTGTGACACATTAAATAAGAACTGCCTAATTTTTTTAGTTCAGACTCCTTAGTCTATCTAGTTCTCAGAGTAGTAGCTTTCTGAATACTGAAGTTGGTTAGGAGAATATTAGTTTGTTCCTGTTGTCTTTAAGAAAATATAACCCCTCTGCATGTTGGTAGAGTATAGCACGTTTTGCGTATTTATATAGTATTTATCTAATGGTGAAAAAATGTTTTCAAAGTGATTTGCAAAACCAGTTTGCTGAAATTTTAGTTTTTGTATCCTTGCAAGGTGAAGGTAAAAGGCTATTTTATAAAGGACGTAAACATTTTAAAAACATCTTTTTTTTTAAGAACGAAAATGGTGACCCTGTACTGTCACTAGAAAACAATTTTTTCATCGTCATCACTCAGACATCCTCCCTGAGATGCTTTCATGGTGGATTTGATTGCCTTACACTATGAAGCAACAGGTTTATTTTGTTCTTTGTTACAGTTATGCAAACACGGAAGAAAAGGGCCTTTTTATTGGCAGCAAGTGCCTAGTGTGTGGCTATCAACTTGAAACCACTATTCCTGTCTTTTTGTAACTCTTGCTGCCAGGTCCCTTTTGAGACCCAGTAGTGGACATGTACTCTTTCAGGATAATCAGCCTCACATGTGCTCGTACTAGTGAGGGAGGAGCAAAGCTACTTCACTGTTGACACAAGTTCTGATCATGCAGTATAGGATCCACTTCTTACGGAAAGATGTGATAAGGTTCCCAAGGACAGTGAAGGAAATGTCAGACGTGGCATTGGGCATAACTCCTTTTGTTGTTGTTGTTTTAGCAGTAGTGTTTTTGGCAGATGGTAGAACACCAGTTGAATGGCTCTTTACTGTTACCATTCTTCGAGTGGGGGACATCTGGATTTGAAGAGTCTTTGAGGTTTCTCATACATAGCAGGCTTATTGATTAGGGTTTAGATTTTTCCCTTTGAGCAGTTCCTGAAAAATTTACACTTGTGGGAATTTATGCTAAATGAATTTTGAACTAAGGGGCTTAGCTGATTATGTGTGGTTGAGTTTTTAAAATAATTTTAACTGAAAATATTATTTTTTGTTTTTGATTATTTCTCACTGGGGCAGTCCTTGGCATTCAGGTTTAGATATGAGTATGTTTATAAGAAGATTTAAAATATATATGCTATAGGCAATAGGGTGGTTTATGATTTTATTTAGATATCATGGTTTTCACACAGTACTAGATTAAAAGATATTAATGAGTCAGAGAAGCTTCTGTCTAAAGAACAGTTTTGACTTGTGAGTAAATGTCTTAATGATTGAAAATTTAGAATTTGAGCATATGTATTAGTGCCTACCACATTCCAGGAACTGTGGAAAGGGCTACTGAAGTATTAAAAAAAAATCAGAATGTTCAGTCTTTCAAGACTTAGGTTTTTTCTTAAATGTTCGATAAGAGTAGATGGTTTACCAGTGTTGCTGAGATGTCAGTAATAGTTCACTGACCTAAGGGAGCTTTGCACTGTGATAGTTGGATAAATATCAGAGTATAAAGAAACAACTTTGGTATTTACATTTCTAAAATAAGATATTTTTCCCCCAGTAAAAAGTAGGTCAAAGCCAATTCTCATTTATAGGTAATTATTTCTTCAAAGTTAGATTTGATCTAAATACTTCAAGAGTATCTTTAGTCACCCAGCCTTATACCCAAACATAAGAGGTGATATGCTTTCATGTTTCTATCTTGAAACTTGTTATTGATTACAGTTTGTCCATTTACATTTCTGTACTTTCCTAGAAAAGATTAAGGTGTCTAAGCATTTTTTTTTTTTTTATTTTCACCCCATGTACTTCATGGTGTCTAGATAGTCTCTGTTTAGCTATTTGCTGATTATTCCTAATGTCGTTTATAATCCTGTCCATCAAAGAAAGGAGAGTTTTTTGAATTGTTCAGATATAATTGTGTGTGCACCCATGTCCCTTCAGTCACTAAGTTTTTAACTAAGCATTGTGCTAATTACTAGGGTTCAGAGTATTAAACAATGTCAGTTTAGAAAACAGGACAAACTGTAATCTACTCTAAATTTAGCAAAATTACTTCCAATATAACATTCTTCTCAGTGAGGGGAAAAAGTTGGAAGGCAGTCTGTTGACATGCATTTAGCATTGTTATTTGGTGTGTTTAAACAAAGCAAGTAAAAGTGCCTTTGTAATGGAAATTTTCACTTAATTGACTCATTTAAAAAACCAGTTATTGAAGTTTTAAAGTAAAATGCTGGTTAATCCTTTTTTTAAATTATTTTTAAGATTTTGTTCAGAGAGAAAGAGAGGGAGAGAAACATCAGTGCGTGGTTGTATCTCCCTAAATAAATGCATGTGCCCTACTCTGGGAATTGAACTGGCGACCCTTTGGTTCACAGGCGGGTGCTCAATCCCCTGAGCCATACCAGCTTGCTTTTTTTTTTTTTTTAAGTTGTTCAGTTACAGTTGTCCCGCCTTTTCCCCCACTGCTCATTCCTTAACCCCCCTACTCCCAGTCTTTATACTTAGGTGAAGGTGATCTAAATAGAAGTTACTGTTAAGATTTTTGGAAGATAATTGGTATTCTAATCTTTTTTCTCATGTGGAAAAGGATTTATTAACTCAGTAAGGTTTTGCTGTTATTTCTTTTTTTCTCAGTTACAGTTTACATGCGTATTATTTTGTATTTCGTTTCAGGTATACATTATAGTGGTTAGATAATCATATCCTTTACAAAGTGTCCCCTTGATATTTCTAGTGTCCACCTGACACCATACACAGTTATTGCAATATTATTGAGTATATTCCTTATGCTGTACTTTAGATCCCCATGACTACCAATTTTTTACAATATTGAGTATATTCCCTATGCTGTACTTTATATCCCCGTGACTACCAATTTTTTAACTACCAATTTGTACCTCTCAATCCCTTCGTCTCTTTCACCCAGTCACTTAAACCCCTACCCTCTGGCAACCATCGGTCTGTTCTCTGTATCAGTGCATGTTTGTTTTGTTCATTTATATTGTTCTTTAGATTCCACATGTAAGTGCTGTTATTTCTTATATTTTCCCTGTGTTGTATTGAATATATAATGTTACCAATAAATTAAAATAGTTTTTTAGTAGTTGATGTTAAAAGCAATAGATATTTTTGTTTCCTATTGAATAAATGGGTGAATTTATATTTATGGCCTTACTTCCCTTTTTAGTGAGTATTACTTCAGCACAGAGAATTTGGAACGGGACTTCTTTCTTCGGAGAAAGATGGATGAGCAAGGCTTCTTGCCCATTTCCCTGATTGCTGGTTTCCACCGTGTCCAGGCTCTCACTACAAACCTCAGCCTCATTCTAGAGGTAATGACACATTTACAAAACAAATGATGCAGTCAGCATTTTTTTGTTTGTTCTGTGAACCTAAAACCACTCTAAAGAAATTCTATTAACATTTTTAAGGAAAAAAGGTGAAAACAACCTGTAGTTGCCTAAGACTTAGACTGTATTTATGGCTTTCTTCCATTTTATAAAGCCCAAATAAATTTCTAACCTTAGAAACCTCTGAAATTGCTAATGATGTTTCCACCTATTTTTACCCTGATCCTTTAAAACTTGAACATCTTGGCCATTCTTGGTTCTTTAGTCTTCTTCAGGTTGTTCTATAATAGTGTTCCCATGTATTAAATTTTTGAGAATTTTTTGTGAGACAGAAAAGCTAATTTAAAAGTCTTTCCAGTTACGTTCTTTCTTTTTTTTTTTTTTTAAGATTTTATTTATTTATTTTTAGAGAAGGGAAGGGATGGAGAAAAAGAGGGAGAGAAAGAAACAAACATCAACGTGTGGCTGCTTCTCATGCGCCTGCCACTGGGGACCTGCCTGCAACCCAGGCATGTGCCCTGACTGGGAATCGAACTGATGACGCTTTGGTTTCCAGGCTGGCACTCAATCCACTGAGCCACATGAGCCAGGGCTCCAGTTATGTTCTTAATGTTTTTTATTAAGTCTCTTGTCTGTCTGGTTGTAGAAATGCATTCAATGTTTTTGGTTTTCTGTTACGTACATATAATCAATTTTGCCCTTTTTGATGTATAGTTCTGTGAGCTTTGACAGATTTACACCCTTGTGTGTGCTCTTGTGCAGCCAATCCCTTTCCTTCTACATAGCACCTGGGAACTACAGACCTGATTTTTGTCCCTCTACTTTTGCCTTTTCCAGAATATCATTTAAATAAATTCTATTTTGTAGCCTTTTATTTCTTTCTCTTAGTGCTTTTGAGGTTGATTCATGTTGTTGCATCTATCAGTAGTTTTCTCTTTATTGTTGACTAACTCCACAGTACCACAATTTATCCAATCACTTGTGTTTAGCTATTTTAGATTGTTTCTGCTTTTTGGAGATTATGAGCAAAGCATAAAGGTATTTGTGTAGACATATGTTTTCATTTCTAGTGCATAAATAATGGTGATTGTGATTGCTTGGATGTATGGTAAGTGATCTATACTATAAGAAATTGCCGACCTATTGTCCAAAGTGAGTTTGAACATCTTGTATACTGTTTTATTTTGTGTGAGAGTTTCATTTGCTCCATGACCTCATCAGCACTAGGTAGTGTCAGTTGTTTTTTTTTTTTAAATAACCTGTAGTGGTTTCTCTTTGCAGTTTTAATTTGCATTTCGCTAATGACTGATGAAATTGAGCATCTTTTCGTGTATTCTTTATTTACTGAAACTTCTTGTATACATTATTTACTAAAACTTCTGTTCAAATCTTTTGCCTATTTTTATTGGAGTGGTTTTTTCTTTTTTAGTACTAGAATTGCAGGAGTTCTTTATTCTGGCTACAAATCCTTTATGTGTATTTAACAAATAATTTTTCCTAGTCTTTGAGTCATCCTTTCACATTTTAAATAGACTTTTTTAGCAAATTTTTTGATCACATGTACTCCATGCTTTAAAAATTAGCTATAGAAAAGTCCAGGTTTTCAAAACACTAAAAACCAGTGATTTTCTATTTCCTGATTTGTGATTAAAGGGTTATTTTGTGGAAAAAAAAATATTTCAGGCAATGTTGTTATTGCATTTATTTATAGATGGTATTTAAATAAAGTTCTGTATACTACAATTTGAAGAAAATTATGTTTAGTTTTATAGCAAAATATTATGATCATGTTCATAGTAGAATGAGTTTATTAACTGCTGCTGCCATTGTGCTGTAGCGAAGATCCAGCTCAGCTGTCATTTTCAGTGAAGTTACCAATTTCCTTCACTCCTTACTTCTGTAAGGATCTGGTTGTAAATGTATTGTATACTTTTTTGGGTCAGTTCTTTTTTCTTTTTGGTATGTTCTTATTCCCATTAAGTCCTCACGCAGCATTTTCAGATCAAATATTTTCAAAATTTACAGCAGGAGGGAAGGAATGTTTAAAAGAACTTCTGTGTTACTATTAGGTTTAGCATTTTTGACACATTTACTGTCGATACATTAAGAAATAATACTGATTTTAAAGTAAAGAAAGTTCATTATGGAAAATACAGCTTGAGAAGTAACTACTATACTATTATTAAGGGCATACAAATGTAAGACTTTTTTTTTTTGAGGAAAGTTGGCTGATATCTTTATTACTTTTGAAACAATGAAATATGTTCACCAACTACAATACAATGAGTTTTTTTAAAGTTAGCAAGTATGTATATTGAAATTTTGTGTCATATTTTCATTGTTCTTTAATTTCTAATAGGTGAGTACCCTTGACTTTTAGTTAAAATTCAGGTCAAAAACCTTTAATTTTTATTTTGAAAAATTTTGTTCTAGTTTTATTTTATTCTTAAACTACAGCTTGTAGTTTATTTAAGAAACACCCTAGCCTAGTGGCTAGGCTCACTGGTGGACAGATAAATGATCTGAGTCCTGTCATCAACTCATACTAAATCTGTGCTCTTTATCGAGTTACCGTGGTGTCCCCCCTTTTCTTCTGGGGATACAGTCTAAGACCCTGACAGGTGCCTGATGTTGCAGTTAGTACTGAACCCTATATTATGTACTATATTTTTTATATACATACATACCTTTTCACTTAAAGGAAGAACATTGTGGTTCCTCTGTGGCACATTTGAATCGCCAGCATCACTACTCTTGTGCTTTTAGGCTATTTTTAAGGAAAATAAGAATGATGTGCAAGAAGCGCTGTGATACCGTTAACCGGGTCGATTTGATAATGCAGATGGCTACCGAGTGACTAAAAGTCAGGGTGCATATGCTGGACAAAGGGACAGTTCACGTCCAGTGCGATTATTTCATGATGCTACTCAGAGCAGTGTGTTCTATTTAAAATTATGAGTTGTTTATTTCTGGAATTTTTCATTTAATATTTTTGGACTGCAGTTGACGACAGGTAACTAAAGCTGTGAAAAGTGAAGCTGCAGATAGAGGACAGATGAGGGGACTGCTATTTTTATTTCTTTAACCTTTAGTGTCCTCATCTGTGAAATAGTAATTTTTAGAATTTTAGGCTCTTGTAAGTATAGGATGTGCAAGTAAAATTTTTTAATGAAAGTTCTTTAATAGATCAAAATTCCTATTTATAGGCACTGAAAGATAGCACAGAAGTGGAAATTGTGGACGAGAAAATGAGAAAAAAGATAGAACCAGAAAAATGGCCAATTCCTGGCCCTCCTCCACGTCGGGTGCCACAAACAGACTTCTCTCAGTTGATTGACTGCCCAGAGTTTGTACCAGGCCAAGCCTTTTGTTCACATACAGGTAACTGCTTTTCTTCTGGAGCAAACAGCATAGCAGTGGGATTCTGGTGCATTTTACCTATCTTTATAAAGTTTACTTAGATTCAGTAGGAAAATTAAAGATAACTAAATAACTTTTGATGCTCTAAATTCTATTCATATTGTCTGCCACACAGAGCTATAATTTAAATAGGGATTTAAGAGTCATGAGTGAAGCTCTGCTCTGTTCCTAAAATTATTTGTGAACTTTGCTATGTGTGGAGTTTCTACCTATCTTGTCATTAATTTTACTATATGATTATAGATATATTATGCCATTTTCCACTCGTAAGCTTGAAATAGTAGGATTGGGATAGTCTAAACATCTTATACTCAAGATTAGGGTAGACTTCTTTTAATTTTCTTACTGATGTGCTTCAACCTGGTCTTGAAAGGGTGAGATGACCTACCTATATTCTAATGCAGAATTGAGGTTCTCTTATGAAGGTATTATAATTATTGATTAAAGAATTGGTGGTATTTAGGATTTCCAAAAACTGCTTTAATGTTAAGATTTTTTTCCTGGGTCATTTTAAAGACATTCCCTCTTGGGAAAAAAAAATATGTGTGCTTAAACTTTTTTCAGTCAGGGTGATGATCTACTGATGCTCTTGGATGTCATTTGATCGGAATATGCAGAGGAATAGGTGACTCACTGAAATATCATTAAATATATTGGAACAAATCGTGCTGCAGAAATGAAAGCGACCAGAGTTACTTCTGTGCAAGAATGTCTACTCCCAACTCTTTGTGGAGGCAGTTGGGCCAGCACTGCAGTGGAGATAAACACCTTTGTGATGATGATGAGAGACAGACCAGAGGACTGCTGTTGTTTTTATAGGAGCTGCCCATTTGTGTGTAATTAGCCTGGGCTGCATGTGCTACTTTTATTCACGGTGGGAAAGTTCATTTTCATTCTGGAAATATTACAAGATTCTGTCTTTTCCTCTTAGACTTATGTACTTGTGTCCAGATCAATAAAGCCAAAATAGAGAGGCTTGAGTGGCATTTCCCAGATTGTTAGGTCCTTTGCTATTTAATTTGCTCTTCAATATAGTGTATGTTGTATAACCTAGATGTCATAATATTTCACATGGACTTTAAAAAGATTTATTAATGTGGACACTAAGATAAATTTAAGAAATGAACAAAAGTATTTTTTCACTCTTAAAAAATTTATTTTTGATACATTATTATGAGACACATGCCATCAGTAAAGCACTGATGGGGACAGTCTCACATTTTTATTTATTGTTTCTTTGATTGTCAGCCCTCTGCCTCTAAACCTAGAAAGCAATTTGGGCAAGTGTTTTAAAATTTGAAGAATAGTGACATTTTTTAGGTTTTTAAATAAAGATATGATATCTATGTAAGTTAGATTAATTTATTGTGTAAACGTGGGGTCCAAGATCACATTTTTAACCTGCCTGTGAACAGGCATTAGTTGAGTTATATAAAATAGAAAACAGTTCTTCCGTAGAGTAGCTAAGATAGGTCAGTCAAGTTGCTGATGCCTGCCTATTAGCCATTTATGCATTATTAATAAAATTACAGGAATAAAACCACAATGTCTTTGTACATTTTTGTGTTTTTTTTAAAAATATGTACTCATTTACATGCACATACACATTGCCTGGAAAAAACCAATCCATCTGTAAAATGTTAAAAAAATTTTGTGTTTTTAGATTATACATCATACATCAGAAACAAGATGGATGATGAGGCATTATAGAAAGATGTTTTTTGAGTTATGCTGGCACATCGCATCATAGGAATAATTATGTAAATGCAGCCTTTCCCTGCGAATCCCAAAATTTCTGACCATAATGATTTCCCTTTGATACAAAAGACTTAATTTCCTAACTTCAGTAGAGAGTACTGTCACCAAATATTTGAAACAGAAGTATGGAATGGGAAATATGGATTGTGTTTATCTGTACCCATGAGTACAGATAAACTAGTGAAACTTTTATCTGTACCCTTTTTACTCACATTATTAGACCTTAAATTTCAAAAAACATAATAACCCTTTGTATAGACCTAGAGAGATTCATGTGATAAAATTTTTTTTAATTTTTTCGTTCTTTTCATCAAAAAAAATAAAATTTCTATTTTTTCCTCTATGGAGCTTGAATTGTCTAACACGGATTGACCTTTGTGCTGAACAGAGGACCATAATACACCAGAAAAGGTTGATTATGGGAATGGTAAGGTGTTTCGAAATTTAGATATTTTATCAACAGTAAAACAATTTCGTTCACCAAAATTGAGACGTCAGGTATCTGACAATCTTGGGGGTTTTTTTGTTTGTTTGTTTGCTTGCTTGTATTTGGCTTTAAAAAATGTATAATGGGATCTTTAATAATTGTTAACTAAACTGTGAGATTTTCTTTGAAATAACTGATCTTCAGAAGTATTCTTGAATGCGCTGCACATAAAATATAGAATCCTTTTAAAGCAGTCTATATAATTACCCAGAGCTGTGATTCAGAGTGGATAAAAAAGTCATGTCAGGTAAATATCATGGAATGTGTAGGGTAGGGAAAAAGTAGGTTTACAGTTGTTGAGTACATGAAATTTTCTTGTATCATTATTAAATTATTTTTATTATTTCCCACACTAACTTTAAACCTACTTTTACCCCACTTTGGTGTGTGTTTGCTGTTTTGGGTTTTGTTTTGTTTTGAAGATTTTATTTATTTTTAGAGAGAGAGGGCAAGGGAGAGAAAGAGAGGGAGAGAAACATTGTTGTGCAAGAGGAACATCAGGTTGTCTCTTGAACCACTCAACTAGGGATCTGGCTCTCACCCCAGACATGTGACCTGACATGGAATCGAACCAGTGACCTTTTGGTTTGCAGGATGATGCTCAACTCTGAGTCACACCAGTCAGAGCTTACTTTAGCCCCACTTTGTATAAGGTGATTTCTCTCTGGAGAATCATGTTGACAATTGGCAATTAATGGAAATAGCAAGAATTTTTTTTTATTGAGTTCTTATAAACAAGAAGCCATAACTGTCAGAGTATGTGTCTTAATTTTTTTGCTTATAAGTTTAATGTCAAAGTCACATTCATATTTATTTTGGTCTTGGAAGATTAGGGCTTTGCTATTACCATTAAAATTAACACACATGGTTTAAAATCTTTTCATGATTAGAGAAAGCAATCACGCATAGTGTATGTGTAGCTTAATTATAGTGTGAAGCCCTTTAAAAACCAAATTTTCATGTCTTACCGAAATTCTTTGGTGTTTTAACGTCATTTATTTTATAAGCAGACATACTGCGAATATAGTGAAACACTTCATGGGAGAAGCATTCAAGCTTAAAAAGCATTTAGAGATGATTATGTAATAAACTTAAGTAGTTGTTTAAAGATTACATTTCTCTGTTGAAAATAGTGTCAACTGATTTCCCCAGCACATGCCAGGTGCTGTTCTAATTATTTATACATGCACTGTGCATAATGGTACTTTACTTAATTCTCACTCTAAGGTGGTGGTTCTGAGTATACTTTAAAAACTTTATTCACTGCATGCACATAGATGATTTATAGTATTAGAAACAGGGTTTACTATAAATTTATTTCTCATTGATTGGGGTGGGGAGAGAAACATGAATTTGTTGTTCCACTCATTTATGCATTCTTTGGTTGATTCTTGCATGTGCCCTGACTGGGGACTGGCGTATAGGGACGATGCTCCAAACAGCTGCGCTACCTGGCCAGGGCCCCTCTATAACTTTGATAATGATGACAGCCCAAAACTAGTATTTTATTCACACCACTTTAGTGCATCAAATGATGGTACATGTACCATTAATTAAGGAATGTATAGAGTAGCAATGTTCAGTAGAACTCTAATGTTTATTACCCATGCGATCCTACTGATTTTAATAGCCTTAAAGCTACAAAAAGAAATTTTAATATTTTAAACATTTTAATGTATCTAAATATTACTATAACATTAGTATAATAATTATGGTTCAATTTGACTTTTTTTGTATTGTGTCTTTGAAATCTGTTATTTTATTCTTATCCTGAGGACTAGTCACGTTAAGTGCCAGCACTGCCCCAACCAGTGACATAGCCCATAACTCAGGCATGTGCCCTGATTGGGAATCAAACCGGTGACCCCTCAGTCTGTGGGATGATACCCAGCCTACTGAGCCACACTAGTCAGGGCAACAATATATTCTTTTTCCAGTAATAGTAATCTAGTGGTTGAATCTAGGATCTAACTGTATGTCCATGGAGAAGATAAATTTATCTGACTCTATCATGTAGTAAATGAAAAAGTCTTGGAATGTTCTTCTCAAACCCGGGTTCATGGAGTGTGACTTTGCGTTTTCATTTAATAAATAAAATGAAAATTGTTCATTTACGTCCGTTTTCTCTAAGTAATATACTCAACTTTGCAAAATTCCTAAGGAATTAGCTGGAGTAAATAATGTTTTGAATTCTACGGTATAAATTTGTTCTTAAAACACTGTTTGTCCAAAGCAAGTCTGTACTGCATTATAACAAATATTCTTTGACTTTTAGAAAAGAAATTCATAAAGGAATCAGTTTGGGTTTTACTTCTGAGTGTATATGTTGATTAAAAACAAAGATAGTGTGGAAAGAGGCCTTTTTAATTCCAACAGAGTTTTAAAACATTTTAAATGTTATCACCAAGGCAGTACACTTTAATGAAACGACATTCTACCTCTTTATTTAGTATGAGCTAAGTGTGCCCTCTGCATTCAGGTAAACCTTGTTAGGCAAAGGAAATGTGAAAAGTAGGAGTAATGGCTGCCTTCGTATAAATCCTGGCAAACACAATGAAGGACTGATTTTTACCTAGAATAAGATAGGCATTTAGTCTAACTGGTTTAACAGCATTGAAGATTCCATAATTTCATTGTAATTAATAGATTCTGAGAACTGATTCCCAAAGAGATACATTGTCATAAATTAGTAACTTTAATTGATATTCTTGAAGCTTAATGAGTGTGGTCTTTGTACGGGTTGGTGACGTTGCAGTAATTTATTATTCATTGGTTTCACTTGAATACATCTTACAAGGTCTTCAGGTTTGGAAATCATTGGGAAGGTTATAGTTGAAATTGATTTATGTTTTGTAAAAAAAAGTCAAGCCCAAGGGAAAAAATGAAATGTTTTATAAGTAATAAAACTATTATTTTAACTATAGAACTAACTTAAAATTTTAGAGTCTGCTCCCAATTCTCCAAGAATTGGAAGTCCACTGAACCCAAAGAAAAATACTGAAACAAGTAATCTTCAATCAATATCTAGAGTTTTGTCTACTAGTTTGCCTGACTTGGACTCAGAACCTTGGATAGAAACAAAAAAAAGACATCGTCCATCCCCAGTGAAATTGAAGGTAAGTTGTCGTAAACCAAGTGAAGTGTAATAAATTCTAGTGGAGTTTGTTAGGTACATCTATAAAACTACAAAAAGTTTTTAGAAATTGTAAAAATTGGTACTATTGGCTTTCAGTAAAAACTTGTGGGTTACTCAGTATCTAAAAATAAATTATATGGTATCAGCTTTTAAAATTTATCTTTTCTGGGTAAGGTTTGGCCTTTCTACATGTGACTAATTTAAATTTCCATAATTTAGCTTCTTAGAAGATGACAGTCTAAATTTTGAATTTATAACCCTATGTTATTCATAACCTTGTTAATTATTTGTAAAGTTCTTATACAAATAACCATTTGTAAAGGGTGCACGTCAAGTTTTATATGTGTTTTGGTGAAGTACAATAGGAAAGCAAAAGAGAATTGATTTATTGGTGGCATATGAGGAAATGAGATGGGTCTCATTCCTGGTTAGGAAACAGTAGGGGAGATCCTCGTGGTAAAACTGCATTTTTGGTGGTTGGGTACACAAAGTCTCAAAAGATGATAAAAACCACAAACACAAATGAATACAAGTAAAACTGGGGGGGGATCTGAATAAGATTGATGGGTTCTATCAATGTGCATCTTGTTTGTGATATTGTACAATACCAGCAGGGCTCTCCAACCCTTTGGTGTCTCCGGGCCACACTGGAAAAAGAAGAGTTGTCTTTTGCCACACATTAAATACATTGTGACATGTAATCACAAAAAAAAAAAAAATCCAAAACACCTCATAATGCTTTAAGTAAATTTACAATTTTGCCTTAGGCCACATTCACAGCCATTTGAGCTGCATGTGGCCTGTGGGCCGCTGCAGGTTGGGCACTCTAGTAATTTGCAAGATTGGGGGAAACTGGGTAAAGAATGGAGGAGATCACTGATTTTTATAACTGTATGCGAATGTACATTTATCTTAAAGAAGTTTACTAGAAGTAAACCTGTAAACAGTGCCACTCAGATGATTCAAATATTGAAAATAAGTTGTGTCAGGAAAAGCTCACTAAAAATATTTGGGCATAGATGGGGAAAAGATGAAGAAGGCCACCTCATATTGAAGATTATTGTGAACAGGGCTCCTTCTGCCTAAGATCAAAGCATGAAAAGGGGAGGCACGCAGGATTTAAGAGTGGCTCTCCTCTAAGGGACTGGTAGATGTTGGTATTTTGCCTCACCAGGGTGCGGTTGGTAACTATCTGGAAACATTTTTGGTGGTCTCCAGACTGGGGTGGGAGAGCGCTACTGATCTTGGGAGAGGAAGCCAGGGAAGCTGCTAACCATCCCGTAGTGCACAGGTCACCCCTGCACACACACACACACACACTGTTACCAAGTCCAGCATGTCAGTAGTGTAAAATTTGAGAAATCTTGATCAAAGGTAACTTCTTAATTTGCAATGGTAGTTAAATGTAGCATACTTAAATGTTTATTTTTCCTTGGGGGCATTTTAAAAGCATAACAAAGCTATTCCAAACAATATTTTCTAAAGACCCAAATGAATTTTTTTATCTGTCATGGCAAACCTGGGTAACTAGGGAGGGAGAATAGTGTCCTGGGCTCATTGACAGAAATTTGTACCCTATTTCATTTATTCCAAGAGCTACATTTTTCCTTCGTATTCAGAGTCTTCACATTTAAACATTGCTTTTAAAAATAATGCTTCAGCTTCCTTGGGAAAGTAAAAATAAAAACTTATTCTCTGCAAAAATGAAAATAAAAATAATGCTTCATCTTAAAATTGATAGCATAAGGATCTTTCTAACTCTAATGGAGTCTTTAATTCTTTGCTCAACTTTTTTTTCTTTAGTGCTATTCAGTTACTGTATTTTGCCATGTATAATGCACATTTTTTGCCCAGATTTTTTGAGGGAAAAATAAGGATGCACAGTATACATGGGAGTGATGATTGCATAGCATGGGCAAAATACACTACTTCCCATTTGTCAGTTCAAAGTAACACTGATTTTCTTTTGCAATTTGACTGCTGAACTAGTCACTGAGCACATAAGCTTGATATTATTTGTTACGTTGTTATGAGACATCTTCAAAGCGATAGAAAATTTTCTATTCACAATACCAATTCCTTATTTCAGGAACCAGCATCTCTACTTGAAGAGACATCAAATCAACTACACCTTCCAGACGAACAAGAACAAGAACAACTTGATTTTTTATTTGATGATGAGATGGAACAAATAGAAGGGCGAAAAAACACATGTACTGATTGGTCTGATAATGATTCAGATTATGAAATCGATGACCAGGATTTAAACAAGATTTTGATTGTAACTCAAACACCACCTTATTTGAGAAAACATCCTGGAGGAGATCGAACAGGCAACCACGTGTCTCAGGCAAAAATTACATCTGAACTTGCTAAAGTTATCAATGATGGCTTATATTATTATGAACAGGATCTGTGGATGGAAGAAAATGAAAACACATACACAGCCATAAAGGTAATTGTGTCTGGCCAGCAACTTTCTGCTGATACTCTGGCTTGATTGTATGTTGTTGCTTATATTTTCTGAAACTTTTTTTCTTTTACTTTCATGGGTCTTTATTTTATGAACGTAACCACTAGTTGTAAATTTAAAGGGATGATTCTGGCCTGTTAATTTTCCAGAATCCTATCAGAAACAAATGTAGTTCCCTTTGTGAAGACAGTCACCTTTATTTTAGACCTGAAAGAATTTACTCATTATTTTTATAAGAAAAGTGAACAGCTTAAAAGACAGTTTACAAGAAACTTCAGAAATCAAGCACAGAGTGGCAGAGATAGCATATACAAAAGAGGGTATGGAATGATAGTATAGATAGTCTGGTATACTGCAAATTAAGTTGTATAATTTAACATAGTCGATTTTATTTAAAGGTTTTTATTGTTGGAAAAAAGGTAAAATAGGCATAAAATGAGAAATACTAAGTGGTAAATGTGGCCTAAGATAGACACTTTATCAGAATTTTAGAAGGAAAGGAGAAAGAAAATAGGCCAGAGTCATTATTTTAAGAGGTAGTAGATAGAACCTTTTCGAAAGAGAGGGGAGGTATCAGAATAGGACAGCCAGGTATAAAGAGAGTGGGCAGCCAGCCAACTGCCAACTTCCCACCAGCAGCAGTTGAATGCAAGAGTGGACAGTGTTAATATACCAAGGAAGCATAACTATCACCCTAGAATTGTATGCTTTAAAAAATAGCTCTCAAGTAAGAGGGTGAAATATGAGTAATTGCAACCAGCAGAAATTCCAAAGGTAGTATAAAAGTGATTCCAGACACCAAAGATACAGAACAGACAGCAAAGCAAAGAAAGTGTTAAATATATGAATAAATCTAAAGAAATATTAACTGCATTACGCAATTAAGTCTCAGAGAT